GTAGAAAAGCTTGAAAATTTAATACAAGGCTTCTAACACATTTTAACAATAGCAGTTGAAAAATTAAATTAATTCATAGTCACATTTTTTTTTKTTACAAGGATTCAAAGTTTGAATTTTGATAACATACGTAAAAATCACAAAAATTCATAAATTATTTTATGCTAGAAATTCATAAAAAATTTTCTTTTTAAATCCAAGATTTTAAAATTTTTAATAATTTATAATATATCCTAGACAGATAAACCGTCTTCGCTCAGAATCGTTTTTCGTATACAATGGTATAATATCATTGGATTCAAATTTAATTCCATCCATTTACAGTAACCCACTTGTAACCTACTGTACAGCAATGCGACATCCACGACTTCCCCCCTTTTTTTTTAATCTGCAACCAATGGCAATCGTTTATGAATAAAAAAATTTAAATGATTTTGTAAAATCCTTGGTTTAATAGATCTTCGCATATGATAATATTAAACATCTAATGCAGTGAATGAGACCGGCTCGTTATTGACGTGGTCGACTTTTAAGTTCTAATACGCCTTTAAAACAAAAATAATGATTTCTTAGATAAAAGAAGAATAAATTTTGTTTTTGACCTATTCATGGTTTATTTCCTTTATAAGCCTTTCTTTTAATTTTCATATATATTTTCTGTACAAAATGATTTCAATATGTTTCACATCTGCCAGTCATCACGCCACGGTTTACTTTTTTCTTTAGTAACATTTTCGTAAAAAATCATCATAAAATATAATTTAAATAACTCAAATATTATTGATAATTTTGTACAATGATTTTTTTTTAAATAGTTTTTGTAGATAATAATAATTTGTAATTACAACTAAAATAAAATATAATATGAATTTTTTAAAACTTTTGCCATGGATTTACTTTTAACATGTAGGTAGGTACTGTTTATTTAATTTTTTGGGCTTGGTCGATTGGCCGATCTGAGTGAAACGGCTTCCGCCCATTGACACTATTAAATAAAATAATGTTATATTTATACCAAGTGTTTCCGGCTAGGTGATTAAAAATCAGGAAAAGTTCTTTTACAAATTAATAGATACAAATTTAACAATTTTAAATTGCTCATAACTCATGAGTAGCTTATACTATAACTAAAAATCCAATAATTATATAAACAGTGTTTTTAATAGATAATTTTGACAAAATTAGTTATTTATCGGAGAATACTGATTTTAGTTATTATATGTAATTTAAAAATAATATTATAATTTATAGTACAATACTGACAGGCTGTTTTCGCTTAAAATCATTTTCCGTAGGTATACAATGACTTAATAACATTGAACTCAAATTTAACAATTTCTTTATTGCAATAGACTCAAAATCAAATCACTAACTGCAGGCCATATGTTTATACATCAAAGCCTCAAAGGCTCGCAGGAAGAACTCCTTTTTTAATCCTTTTTTTTTAGTATTTTTTTATATCTTAATATTTTATCCAAAATGAAAAAAAAAATAAAGAAAACATTTATTTTTACTAATGTCTATAATAATATAACTGTATTTAATGATAGTTTTTAAAAATACTATGTAAGAACATAATGATTTTTTGTTAAACAATTATTTATTGCCGCTGCATACAGTGATTCACAGTTTCACACTTACGGTAGTACAGTACAACAGAGTAGCACCCATCACTTGTCCACTTTTTTTCTCTAAATATTTGAAATAATTTTATCACTGTCATAGTTAAGAGATTTATAATAATATATTATAAATATATAGATTTCACTTTTCTGGAGACCTTCACCTTCTACGGAGTCCTCGTACCTATATAGACGACAGATACCTATTTCGTCCTTCTATACTTGCATTTTTTTTTTTTTTTTACCAGAACTAAAACGTTGCAAAACGTTCAATGTACCATTAAATATTCATTAAATAGCTAGGCGTCGTGCGCATTAACATAGGTTCGCCGTGCATTGATATCGGATTTAAATATTGTAATATCTAACCAGGTACCTAAAGCGTATGTATGTTTTCGTATTCATGTACTATCTATAATTTTAGATGATGACTTAAAACGTGTAGTAAATGTTAATTCAACATGTAAAAACTGAAAACTTAAGTTTAGAATATTGTAACTAGTKATATTTTAGTATTTAATATTTTAATGTTTACCTACTAAAGTAAAAGTATACATTTATATGGGTATATAAAAAATTGTATCAAAAAATAGTGTATACGGTCTCGGTTTTATTGGTATATATTTTTTTATATACTATATTATTAGTATATATAGTAAATTAGATTGGTACAATCATCAATAATAGTGTGTTTTGCATACATTTTTCTCAAAACTTTCTGAATTAAAGAAACCATACCTACCTATGTTCCCTACTCAAATACAATCGAATCAAATCTGCAATACTATATTAATGGAAATTACGGAATTATGAATAAATGCAACATATATTATGATACTTTCCATGAAAATTGAAAAGTGACGATGAAAATCATAAACCATCGAGTACAATGTTATAATAACATATTTGACACACGTATACCTAATTACGGGTCGTTATCCTAGGTTATTGAAATACATTATAACTTAGATGGCTAGGTAATGGTTAGATTTTGTTCAGGATAACTATTGACGCGTCCGTAAGTATACCTGTCTACAACACGTTTAGACTATAGAAATGTACGAGGTTTTGCCGCCAATCTGTCTGTCCTCGGAGGCGGCGGCGACAGCATGCGTTCGAACGATTTTTTATCGATTTTTTTTATTGCTACTGCTTGAGAACGTGAACGTGTGTGCGAGCTCGATTTCATGCCCAGAGCAACAACATTTTGTGATATGCCGAATTATAAATGGTCGGGTGGTTTCTCGGTGGCGGTACAGGCATATTGTACACTAGCGTGGTAGTGGTACAAACGTATTATAATGTATACCATGGTGTAGTGGTTGAGTGGTAGTGGTAGATTGTTATTACTTTTATACAGATGTTAATTATTATGGGAATTTGGCCAATTCACAGCATTTTATATCCTGACCGCTCCAAACTAAATTATACTGTCGTATAGTGTAGATCGTGTTTGGCCGATAAGCTTGCAGCACACGTTTTTAGCCCGTCAATACGACAAGACGTGGCGATAAATTTTACTTTTAAAATATATCCACGCGTGCCTAAGATTCCAAACGAGTAGTCTCGAGAGCTGTACGATGTGTGTGCGATTACGGTGATCGCAGCTCGAGAATGCATCGGAGCATTATGTAGAAAAAATAAATATATACATAAAAGTTTCGAGTTCTTTAATCGTTTCTGTCATCGAGATTACCTTTACCTATATTTTTCAAACATCGTGATAGTATACTGCGGCTTTTACGTCCACTTCCGGTTGGTTTTCCTATATTGTCGATCCTCGAGATGCGTACGTTCAGCGCTTATGTCGTGTCGTTGTTCCACGTGTTCACCGTCACCGACGCTGGCTCTTTTCTCAACCTGCAGGGTATCAACGGTCTGTATTATTATTATTTTTTTACTATTAATGCAAAATGTTACTATTTATATCCTAATGTTATGACTTTTATAATGTATTTGCAGTAAATTTGATGGAAAATGCCATATAAATGATAATTGAATAGTGCATAGATTGTTTCAGCTGAAGTAAATTATAAAGAAAATTATTTAAACAAAATATAAAATTTCTAAAATAATAATTAAATCTACAAAAGATATTATTATTTATTTAGATCTCATTAATGTCACTAATTTATTTAATTTAATCATGTTTTATACCGATGCTGTACGTATGGGAAAAAAACTATTTTTAACAGTGAATTATTGTTCTAACCTTTTTATGTGGTTTACAATATAATACATGATATCTATTATTTTATATTATATAATGTGTGTTACTGGCAAAGTGAATAATCTAGGAATTTTCGTGTATTTTTCTTATAGACCAGTAGTTATTAAATATTTTAACCACTGTCATAATACAATACAATAAAGATATTAATAAAAGGTGATTAAAGTATAATGAAGTAAAACTTATGTGGTGTTGAAAATTAACTTGTATGATGAGTATCAGTACATACTAAATAATACCCAACTTAAATGGTGATCAATTGGCATATCTCGAAAGCAACAATTAACTAACTCTGTGAATTACAGAAATTATAGGAACACGTAGGTATAGGTAAATTTAAATATATATATAATATATTATGAGTATATCATATTATTATTATTGAAAAATATTAAGAAATTTAAATGAACAAATTATATAGATGTGATATACCAACTGTTATATTGTATGCCGATAAGCTAACCAAAAAATAAATAAATAAAGTTATTTCAGACTATATAGTTATAGAATTCATTAATATTTTACTTTTCTCCAGAAGTATATAATACCTATTCAAAATGTTCTACAGCTTATAAAATTCCGATTTAATGCACTAATGATAAATGGATGTTCACAAATAGGTTATCACTTGCTGTAATGAAGTATATAGATAGGTTTGGTATACTAGGTAGGTATATATAATACACAATGATAATATTCTAAATTCTTAGACTGAAAAAGATTATTAAAGAACGAAATTTGATTTTTGTGAAAATCTATTTATTTATGAAATATACCTACTCATATAAAATTGAAATTTTAATGTTTTTGATGACTTTATGCCAAATGTATTACTTTACATAATATTATTCTTGACTGCTTTTACATATAATCATGTATTTAAATTCAACGACATGTAGGTACTAATTTTAACTTCTAATTTTTCTACACCAAGTAAAACTAATAAATTAGTTTAAATAATTATATATTTTATATTATATATATATATTTTATTTCACTCAAAAGTTTTTAATTTTTGATTCTAAAAATATTAAGAGCATTAAATTAAAATATATTACCTTTAACCGCAATCCACACAACTGACATAACTAACCTAATAATACGTATTAAATACAAGTCTATTATTAATTGTTTTTATATTTCTCAAGTCTCGAATTTATTGTATTGTTTCTTAACTCCTAATAAATTTCACACACAGTTCAGTTTCAATGTAGGTAATGCTTTAGGTGTATGTAGCAATGGTAGCATATATATTAAGTACCTACCTATTAGAAAACATTATGCGTTATTGTATCTTGGCACATCAAATTCTTATGATTTTGACATTTATTGCTAATTCATTAAATCGTATCAATGTCGATGAGCATAAAATATCAAGAAATAATGTAAATTGGTTGAATTTTTTTCTCGAACAGCGTATAATTGTATACATTAAAGTACGTTGGTTGTACGTAGTGAAAATATAAAATTTATAAATACAGTAAATTTTGACTAATTTTAAGTTTTATGTTTGAAAACAATAATTATAATAGGTATTGCGTATCATTAAAAATAAGGTTTTCGACCAGCTTAATAGCCCAAGTATCATAATATTCATAATATGTGTAGGTACACTTAAGGTTAAAAAAAAATTGAACTGATTGAGCCATAACATAACGATTAAAAATGTATTTATAATCGTTGCGTGCCATTGGATATGATAGGTATGTACTTAATTCTGTTTTACAGCCTGAAGGTCGAATTTTGGCAATCGATTTAATCACGTCGTTTATGTGCTATGAAAAACTCCAAAACTCATTGCTCCGAAACACAAACTGTGTGTCTGTATCGGTATGACATTATTTCCATGAGTAATTGTAAAACAATAATTTCTCAACACCCATGTAGGAATCTCAATAATAAAATACAGTAATTTTCAACTCATAATATAAATTAATATTATATAACTTCAATATAAACATAAGGGTGATGAGCATTGACTGTCAACAAATATATAGGTATTTAGACAATTTTAAAGTATATAATTCTTAGGTATTTATATTTATTTTTGTTGATTCTAAATATTAGGTGTATAGAAATCAGTAAAAATATGTAAGTAATAGATGTAGCCGTGAAAATTAGTTTTGGCTTATTGGCTTACAAAACTATTTAATCGCATAACAATGTTGAAAAAAAAATTGATGACAAGTTCTTTTACCTAAAATATTATATGAACACTTGAATTTTATAATTAGTTACCTGATACTTACCAACTTAAATTATTCATACTTTTTATTCCAATATTTTCCATAAATGGATCTCTAATGCCTCATAATTGAATTATTGATCAACTACAACTAGCTATTTATAATATATATAAGCTATAACATTATATATTTTATAATTAATTATAAATATCGAAAATATTTTATTACTGGCTATCGGTAATTATTACGGTTAATTTGAAACATTCACAATACATTAGGTATACTTTCCTTCCTTGATTGTTGGTTAAATTATAGGTATCCAGAATCGATGGTACAACGATTTTGAGAATCGATCTACATGACCGGCGCCCATGAGACAAAAAAAAAATTTTTTGCTCTTTCACAAAGCGATGACCTCCATTTATTCCACCGGAAGTATGTGAATTAAAATTTCTGAAAGTCTTCTGTAAAATATATTTACTCCTTTAGTCCCTATTTTTCGTTTTATTGCATACCTACATGATACATTTAAAAAGGAAACAGTATTGAGCAAGTATAGGTAAAATATTTTGTGAAAATAATGATATTTGGGTACCTATAGACTTATAAAGTACCTAATCGGTAACAGTAAATATAATGTTACACATTATTTAGTATACATCATATATTTCAAATTTAATTGAATATGTTTTTCAATCGTGTTAAAGATTGTATAGTTTATTTCCTTATAAGTAGGTATATTCAGAAAGTTAGAAATACAAATATGACCTAAGTTGTAGGTATTTATAATAAATAAATAAGCACAGGTTAGTGATAAAATATAATATTTGTTTATTATACTAGGCATTGTCTCATATTGCTCGTCCTATGTTTAAACGTATCCGTAAGTTAGCAACTTAGTTAGTTAACTATTATACGTAGGATTTAATAATAAATGCGTGTACACAACGTGCTCATCTAATAGATTTTTGCGTTCAAGTGTTTTAAATCTTAATCAAAAACTGTTTGAATATATACGATAAAAATGATTTACACAGTTTTAATAATTAAATGAATGGCTTAAGGGCAATCTACAATTTGTAACCACAAAATCATAGAATTGATACCTTACCGATTTAATACACGAGTACCTATCATATATTGATTGTGAAAATAAAAAAAAATCTGGATTACAAACAATAGTAGCTATTATGTTGCAGTATATGTGATTTCACGGTTATTCATTGTCGTTGATCATAATAATCAAAATAATATTATGTTTAGTTATTCTTTTCGAAAATCATAATTTTTGTATAAAATGATCAGTTTTATCCGTTTTTATAATATTCATTATATATTATGTAATGTATATTGTATAAGACATAAATAAAATGTTTCAAGTTTTTATATTCTAGTGAAACGTGCATTTATGATTGATAATATTATATATGCAAAAAAATATATTTAACCTTGATATACTATTACGTATACCTACTGCATTGTTCAGCAGCTATATAGAAACAATAATGATTATATGCAGCGTCTGTTGTGTTTTTCCGTTTTTTTCACGATCATAATTATCGAAGGAAATCACATGTCGTCGAATTAGATAGGTATATAAGTGCGGTCATACGGAGTCTGTGTGTCTCATCTTTGATAGATTATGATTTTGTTATCTTAATAACTTATGTATATTTAAGAAAGCCACGATTTTAATAATAATCTCATAATGTACCTACACTTGAATTCAACACAATCAGTGGCGGCTCGTGTGCTCTGAAAGTGGGAGGGCGATATAAAATTGCTTATTTATGGAAAGTATCGAACACAAATAATATTAATACTAATAATTTATTTTATTCTGTTTAATAGTTAATACATATAAATTATTAATTATTATATATATTTTAAATTGTCAACACTTTTTTATAGATTGAATTGATTAGAGTTACGACCGCACAAAGTAAATAATAAATACGCAAGTTTGGAATCCGTGAATAACGGCCCGGCGGCAGTATAATTATTGTGTTCCCCATTCTTAGTTTTTGTATTCCAACCATAGTAATGACGAGCGACTTTAACATTGCCCAAGTCGCATGTGCCGCTCGCCAGTCCCGGCAAATTGTTATTGGTTATCGATTCTCAGTAGCTACAGAGTCAAATGATTTATTTTTAAACTCCCATTATCTGATAATGTTTTCATAATAATATGTAGGTATTAGTGTAAATGAAGGAAACACAATTTTTATTTTTGACAATATTATACTAAAATATAAATGAGAAATTTAATATTTAACTTGTAAATTGGTAATAAATTATAATTCTAGAAGGGGGCGATCGCCCCATCGCCCTTATTTACGAGCCGCCACTGAACACAATAGAATTAGGTAAAACAGCGTTTTGAATCGCATCTTAAAAATAACCGTGCAGCTGTAGGTATATAATCGTAATTTGTCGTCAAAAATCTCGATCTCTTCGAAACGTTACGACTTGTTAGTATTCCGCATAGTTAACATAAAAAATGAGATATAGTATTTTACTATTAATTTGTTACCTATGCATGGTTATTTGATAGGTATTCTGACGAAAACGCCGGCCATTTTGGAAACATTTTCTCGCACAGGCGGAAGTCCTATGGTACTTCTTATTTCTGCCTATCTATATAATATATGTGTACCTAATACCTATAGGTATATGTAACCATATCGCAATCGAAAATCTCTAAGAAAAAAAAAATTAGGCACAGTGGCCTTGTCGGTATGACAAATTAAATTGTTTAATTGTGAGTGAAAATCGCCATCGTTCCCGGATACATTCCATTGGATGGAGTCCGTGTGGTATTGACTATTGACACGCTGATGATTGATATAATACTTTTATATAGTTGTTATACGTCAACCACGTGTGATGTGTGGAGATTTTAACGTACCGCGTAATCGGAGCGCTAAACATTGCACAACGCGGTCATATACTATAATTATATAGTTCCTCGTGAGGCTCCTTAATGCGCATATAGTTAATTGCTATCAGTCTAGGTATTATATTTTATTTTATTAAGCATACCATCCCATACGAATCGCACGTAGGTATACCAAAGTAGAAAGCTATTTTTTAATTATAATGACATAATACAATCAAAAAATAGAAATGAACGGTTGTGAACAAAATAATGGCAGCAATGTTGTTGACATACGGAGGTAACATGAATTGCAATTTATACTAGTTACGAAATATTATAATATTTGTTATGATAATTATATTTTATATTATATTTAAATATACTTACGTTATTTTCCAATTATAAAAAAAACTTTTAATTTCCAATTTTATAAAATTATTAATACAATGCTATGTAGAGTTTATACTGTTAAAGTGTTAAAAATATAGGTACCATACTAGGTATTCAATACTATTTTATTATAAATGCTACCATATATTAAAGATATTATTATTATATTGTATATTTGTATCTCCGAAGATCGAGTAGTATAATATAATTTAATATAATCTGATGGTCAGTCATGTACGTATTTTTTTTTTCTAGGATATACACCCAGCTGTAGTCAGCACATAGGCGTATATAGGGGGGATTTGGGGCCTTATTAGCTCTCCTAAAAATTTATTTTACCTCATCTAATTTAAATTTAGTTTATGGTGAGGTATATTTTAACCTATAATATGTGTTAATTTATAAATCTACTTCCTTCCAGATTATTAACTATACAGTATGCCCCAAAAGTCCCGTATCACCCTTAATATCTCCATTTAAAATCAATATATTTAAACGCAGTTTTTTTTACAGAACTAAGTATGAAAATTCTGATTGAATGGCATAATTTTTTTTTTAAATTCAAAAATTTTTTTATGCATTTAAGAATTTTAAATTTTTAAGATAGCCATTTTGTTGAACATATTTTTTAAAACAGTTCAATTGTTTTTTTTTTTTATAAATGTTTGAAATGACCTTCATTATTTGCGACACAGAGTTGGAGTTTTTGGACACAAGCGTTTTTAACATTTTCTAATGCCTCAGGTAAGATATTTTGAATATTTTGTTCAATTTTATGACGGAGATCAGTCAATGAACACGACGGATAGACAAGATTTTTCAAATAACCCCATAAAAAAAAAATCTATTGGTGTTAAATCGGGAGATCTAGGTGGCCAAAGCACTAGACCCCTTGTTCCCATCCATCTTCCCTGGAAGTGCTCGTCCAACCAACCTTAAACAATATTTGAATTATGTGCTAGTGCACCGTCTTGCATAAAAATTGGTTCTATTCTGTTTGTATTAATTAATTGAGAAATTATTGGCCACACGCTTTCTTCTAGTAAATCTCGATACTTTTCTTCGTTTAAATTACCTCCTATAAAAAAGGGTCCAATGATCTGCTTATTCCAAATTCCACTCCAAACATTTAATTTTTAAATATTTTGGGCATGAAAATCTATAGATTCATGTGGGTTTTCGTCAGACCAGTGATATGTCCAGTGTCTACTTGTTTGTCCATTTCTAATAAAAGTAGATTCATCRGTAAAAATTAATTTATCTATAAATAGTGGGTCCTGACTAATTCTATGTAACGCCCATTCACAAAATTGTAAACGTCTTTCTTCATCACCCGCATGAAAGTGTTGAACAAATTTTGTTTTATATGCTTTTATTTTATTTTTTTGGGAATTCTATGAACGGATGATTTGCTCACCACGCACCTATGACGTACGGATAATTTTGGAGCTGCAACTACACTTCCAAGAATGTTGATGKTGTTATCTACATTTGTAACATTTTGAGATCTACCTGACCTATTTCGTTCATTGACATTACCTAAGAGTTAAAATTAAGTTATTAAAAAAATTATGAAATCAATAAAATAACTAAATAATAGGTACACAGCTTAACACCCACTATCTAATACCTATCTATGTGATATTAATTAGCTTATTGTAGGAAAAAATTAATTTCTTAGAAAATATGTACAGTGGACACCACGTCACTTATAAGACTTATGGATATACGATTCAGTCGCTTATTAGACTAAATCGTCAGGAATGGTCCGGACGTATCCAAATACCAAAATTTGCGATTTTATTATAATTTGAGAACAATGCAATTTTACCTGTTTCCAAAAATCGAGGCATTAATCTATTTATAACATTGTACGATGGTTTTTTACGATCAGGATACTCAATTCCAAGCAGCTTGTCTATAGCTTTCGTTGTTTCGGAAGTAACATTTCACAATATCGATGTACATAATATTATGTACTGAGAATGTATGAGTCATTATAAATATTGAATAAAATAACAAATAAGTAAGAAATAAGAAGTTATAGTTAAAGACACAGTACGTACTGTACGTATGACACTAATAGCAATAATAGCTATAAAGAAAGAACACAAGATAATAATTTTAATTATAATTTACAAAATTGCGATATGCGTTTGTAGGTATTATTATTATAAATCGCATTAATTATAACTGTAAGATTAWGWCCAATATCGTAACTTWAGGTTCACTTCATGATAATTAAAATACTTAAAAATAGGTAACCAGTTTCACTATTCAGCAAACGATATAACACGGCTATTTTTATTTCTATTCAAATCAAAACTTTAATTAGAAATGTAAAAGCATTGTCGTGTGCTGAAATAGATATTTTATTATTGAAATGTGAAACAAATAACAATTGATTTTTTTTACTACAATTATTCAAAAACCTAACATGCTCTAACTTGGACAATTTTAATTTTTTTTTTTTTTGAACTGTTTTAAAAAATATGTTCAACAAAACGGCTATCTTAAAAATTTAAAATTCTTAAATGCATAAAAAATTTTTTTGAAAATTTTTGAATTTAAAAAAAAAAGGAATGCCATTCAATCAGAATTTTCATACTTAGTACTGTAAAAAAAACCGCGTTTAAATATATTGATTTTACATGGAGATATTAAGGGTGATACGGGACTTTTGGGACATACTGTATTTCCGTTTATGAATTTAATGGAGTTGAACTTACTTTTTATCACATAATTCCGTTCTGTTTGAAAAGTAGGGGGTAAAAACACTATCTCTAAATAGTACATACTATACCTGCTAAAATTATAACTGTTATTATTATAAGACAATTGACAATATAAATAATATATTATTTGTTTTAGATTAGTGTATAATAAGTATTTATTTATAAGTATCATAAAATTAACTGATATAGATATATAGGCAAGGAACACAACATTCTGTATTTTATCATCAAATCTGTCATGCGTATTTTTGAACTACAATAAATTTAAAGTGGAAACTTGAGAGTTATCATAGTTTATTAGCCATAAGTCAATAATATCAATAGTATATTCATAACCGTGATTATAATATTGATATTTATATGATGGTTAATATCTAATTATTAATAAATTAATGATGATTTTCCACAAAACGACCAAACTGATTAGTTAAAGGTAAAGATTAAAAAAAAAATTTTTTTAGGTAGGTAGTTAATATTTTATTTTACTTTTTTCGTTGATTAATTTTAAATGCATTCGTGGGTATTTATAGTAATTGCAGGGTATACACTATACACTAAATCAGTAAACTGGTGCTAGATTATATGCCATATATCTGCGTACGCCCTCCAAACACTATTACTGATGGTATAAACATTAAACATACAGTAAAAATGTAGAATAAGTAGTAATACCTATACACCCAACTATAAAATGTTAACTTTCAACAAATATAATATTTTTATAATATTTATATAATTAAGCTTGTAGCTGAGAAAAAACTAACTAGTATCTCGTTATAAACTTGGACATAAAAAATACAACAATATGATACATTTTATATTAGCATTTATATAAAAAATAATTTTGTAATAATTATATTACTTTTTTTTCAACAGATTGTTTCGAAAGGGTTGCAATTGGAAAACGTTTGAATAGTTCAGATGTGACAAAAACAATATCTACCACAAATATAAAACAATGCAGTAACGAATGTGAACGAATGTTGTGCAACACATACAGTTATGGGTGAGTTTAAATGGTTAGTTTAAAATAATATCGTATTTTTTATATAAATGGTAAGTAATTCAATAATAAATAACTGTGAGAAATGCATGAAATTAAAAAAAAAAGTTTTACCTGAAGAGTTGTCGATATTCCTGTGTGTATGACTAAATAATAGGTTAAATCAAAAAATGTATTAAATAAATTAATACTCTCTTCTAAACTTTAAATATGGGTGTAAGCAAAAATATTAATATAAATAATAAATAATAATTTATTAATACAACAAAATTATTGAGGTATAAGCCAGTTCACACCTCTTCGTGGTGTATCCTGAGTGACTCTAAATTAACATAAAAAATATTAATTTATTTTCTTGGGATACAATCGAGACATATAATGGTTAATATCCCAAATTAACCATTATACTTGTAAAGTTACTAACCTTACTACTGTAAAGTTGGTAAATTCTTAAAAAGTTGTATAGTTATATGACATAAATTTGAGAGCGTAGGTAACTAATGTGTTGGTTTTTGTTTTCATTTTCCAGATTAAACGGAAACGGAAATGGTACTTGTTTACTAGGTTTAGATCTACCAAAATCGGGACCGTACGATGATCCAGAGTACGATCTTTTCATGAAAATATTGCAATGTAGAGATAGAACAAGTGAGTAACATAATAGTATGTATCTATAGTATCTATTTGCATAAATCAAGTGATAAAAAAAAAAATTGTTTATTATTCACCTAACTTAATTAAGTTGACAATTGATATTCGGTCGTTAAATAATCTTAAAATAATGTACAAACTTATTTGAATCGATTGAGCGATCCTAAAAAAAATAATTAAACACTTACCCTATGTTCCTAGCTCCTATAGGTAACGTTGTTTTGTTGATATTTGAAGTTTAAATAACATAATTCATGTTGTGATGATATAACTAAGTATCAACATAAGTAGGTGGGCAAAATAATATATAAAATAATACTCAACTTTAATTTTATAATATATAATAAATCCTGTGGTGACTACTGATTAGTCTGCAAATTATTTGGTCTCCATTAATTCAAAAACATTTACCCGGTAAAATTCTAATGAATTTTCATAGACGAGTATCTATAACTAATAAAATACATTTAAAATTAGGTGCATGAAATATATTTTTGTCTCGTATCTATAAATATTTTTTATTCAAATAGTTATTGGAAAATATTTTCATTAAAATATTCATATAGTCATTTTAAATAAATTAAAAATAAGTTTTAGGTATGATAAAAACACATTGCTATACCCTATACTTAGGGTGAGTGAACAGTTGTATAAAACTAACCTAATCTCTGTCTAACAATAAATTTCTTCAGGGTTCATCGTTTAAACAAAAATTATGATTAATGATAATTATTCGATTCCTCGACATCAACCCAACACAAACTCCTAGTAATTAGTATCAAGTATTAAAAAACTATTTTGTTTTTATCGATTTTTTTATGGTCTATATAATCAAATATTACTATAATAAGTGTCCAGAGCCGTATTTAGGGGGGAGCTACAGGGTACTGTTGCCCCAGGCGGCTGAGTAGGAGAGGGGGGCTAATTTGTATTTTGTATAATGATTAATGAGGCGTATTTTTTTGTTACCCCTTGGTGTCAAATTCCTAAATACGGCCATGTAAGTGTCTACAGTTAATGTACCTACATAATATTTTATAATGTATTCTACTAAGTGCATATTATATCAGTTATATATCTAATAGATTCTGTAACAAAATAATAATAAAAACTTTGTGATGATTTCAATATTACACAAGAATAATTAACAAATATATTTGATTTTAAAAGTTATTATTATTATTGATAATCGATTTATTAAGTATCTACATCGAAATGTTTGGTACGGTATCCGGGTATCAAGACATAGGTATCTGGTAATAACAATATTATGATAGGTACTTAGTGATTACTAATCACATTGTAGTATTCAATATTTCGAATACTATAATAATTTTTCGCTCGTGATTTGGAAATATAAAAATAATTATATTGTAACACGGAACAACTATATAGGTATGTAATTTATAAAAACAAAAATAATTCGATATATTTTCACTAACATGCGTATTTACAATTAACTGACTGTATATTACAAACCATATTATTGTATGAATATTTTTCGACACTAGAACAATAATATGGTTCTGCTGATTACAGGCTGCTGTAATGGATGTTAAATTATATACAATGTATCGTGTGTAATAGCGAATTAAATGTTTTGCGTAAGTGACAAGCGTGGACGTTTTATTAGCCACAGCCTGCTAGTTATCGTGTGTGAAATGTGAACACAGCATCACTAGATGATCGTTAAAGTGGGTAGTGCCAATATAATAATGTATAATTAATATTTTTTAAAAATAGCATTACGTGTTCGAAATTATTTTGCAGTGCACATTTATTGAATTTTGACTAAATATTGTTGTTCCTTATAAGTTATTGTGTTTAATGTTAATTTTTAAGTAGTATTGTACATTAAAATTTAAATATGTTAATAATATTGAAAATATCATAATCTTTAAGGTCACCTACTATATATATATTATATATATGACCTAATCTTAGGTAAACAGTAATATATTATCTTATCTTAAATGTTTATACAAACCAAAATACTCATGCAATTTACGACTTATGAATATTATGACTTGGAAAAAAAATTAATAACATTTTTTATTGAATTAAGTTAATTTTATTTTATATCTTAACTTTAATTTTAATTAATTTTATTCAATTATTTTCATTAACTTGCCCACCTTTGCATAAAATATTCCGGGACCTAACTCATGTGCTCCAAAAAATATACCGGGACCCAACTCGTGCTGTTTTTGAAATCTGGGACCCAACTCGAGTTTGTCCCATAATAGAAATAATAGCTCACCAATTGCTAATTAGTAATTATGTACTATCCTCATAGCTATTAATGTTTGTTTGGGGACCAACATTAGTTAGTTTTATAGTGATATTATTTTAATTTTCCTACTTTTAAATTTAAATTTACTTTTTATTATTTTTCTGTTATCAATATTTACCACAGAAAATGCTCCGACAATTATGACTATAGTCAAAATATTTTATAAAAGTATTAATATATTTTAAATTATTTCTCCCTATAATTTTTTATAGTAAAATTATTTTGATAAGAAATAATGCATAACAAAAACTTATAATTTAAAAATTTAATTAGTTCACATAAATTAACGTATATAACAGATGGTAACTTTACACACTTTAAACTTAAAAATTCTATACAATACTTTTATTGATGCGTTCTTTGAACTCCAAGTTATTCGTGATAATAGGTATAATATTATATATTTCTTGTTTTATGAATAGAAATGATCCCGCTCATAAACATAAGTATTTTGAGAGTTAAGAGTAATTAAAATGTTTTTTTCTGGATTGCATGCGTATTTAGCTCGTATTCGAAATCAATACTTCATATTTTTCAGAATTTGTCATTTATTTTAAACTATTAGCTATAGAAACAAACATTTAATTGAAATAGATATTTAGGTAGGTAATAACTAAATACCTACTTTATTAGGCTATATACCTACATTTTATTTATTTATTTATACCATTCATTCGTTAAAACATTTAAACTAATTTATCGTATCTTTACTGTACATGTAGAGACGATCATTAAAAATTAAGCCTTGAAATATTATTTAAAATTGTTTAGAACATTGAAAGAATACAAACAGCAATGTTCGCTTAAAAGTGGACTATTCTGCAGTGAAAATAATGATATAAAAATAAAACAGTTAGATATATTTGTATAATGTTGATACCTACATAATATAATAAATTGTTATTTTAATTTAAATAAATAAAATTTATTGTTAGTGTATTTAAATTTTATGCGTCAGGTTAAAAATATAAGTCTTATTTGAATAGTATTAATATTTTTTGCTAACAATTGGTGTTTTTCTTCATTTCATATAAATGTTTAAGATACATCAATTATACGTTATGAAATTATTATCGTATTCCTATAACTATGCACTTTGAGAACTTGACCTAAAAGTCAGTGAATTGCAGATTTTCAAACAATTAGTACTCAGGGAGTTTTAGTGATCCAAACATCACAGATAGATTAAACTCTGGAAAAAAAGTTAATAATTATAGCTAAAGTTAATAAATATACAATAAACATAGGTTAGGCAAAAAACACAAGTTAAGAGTTGTCTATATCAGTAAAATATAAAAATCTATAAAATAAAGTTTTTTTGGTAACATATTGCATTTTTGGCGTTCTTTGAAAATATTGATATTAACAATAACTATTATTACATGGTCCAGTTAAATCTCTATTGAATGCTTGCACCGACAACATAATATAATATTAGGTATATTATTTTTGAATAGCATGTTTCATCAAGCTCGTGGGAGGCCGTCGTCTTACCGATAAATATATCCAAAGAACTCTGCCCGCTGATTCAAAAGGAGATTGTGAAATATACTGCGAATATGAAAAAGAATTTCGCTGCGAAGGATTTAACTTCAGGTTTGTATTATTATTATTATTTAATATTTATTTTAAAAATAACTATTTAATTGCTGGTTGCAATTTTTTTAAAACCTTGTTTGTTAATTTTGAATTAATAATTAATATAGTACATGAATATTATACTAGTATGTCTTAGTTCACCATATATTAAGTTGAACAGTATAATATCAATAATAAAAAAATGTATCATAAGATTTTTTTAATATGTAGTTTAATTTAATCCTTTATTTCGGTCAATAAATTATTATTAAGGCATTTTTATTATTTTTTGGTATTAATGAAAACTAAATAGTAACACAGAAAAATAAATACATTTTTAGTAGGTTTAAAGGATATACAGTAACTGTAGTCTGTAGTAGATAAGAATAAATAAAGTAATAATACTTATAAATAGCATGATACAAAAAAGAAAAAAATGCGATAGAAGCAAATGGTTATTGAAAAATTGACAAATGGCTCAAGGTCAAACTTTTACTCTTGCTTAATATACTCATTGTATGATGTCATTAAACTTGAATCTTGAAAAACATATTTCACCAAAAAGTATGTGTGGCTAAATAATGTATGAAATATAATATTATGTTATGGCCATTATCTGTATCGTTTTATCGCGTGTTTTCTTTTATTTTGCTGTAGATACGACATGAAGTTGGACTCTTATAGCAGCTGCCAACTATCGTCTGTATCTTCTGAGAAACTAGACCTATCCTTGGACTTCCAATCGGACGTGGAATACGATTATTTTGAAAAAAATGTAAATGCTTCACCAAGCTGTCGGTACGCGGAGCTGGCCGGACCATATGGGCAAAGGCGAAAATGGGGTGGGTCCGGAGACGAACAGGACCTATGGCAAGACCTCAGTCCACAGTGGCAACAGGGAAACGAAGTGGCATATGGTGATGTTGACAGAGTTTTCTATGATCAGTTGAAACCAGGTGTGCAAGACCTTTTCAGTGGTGGAGGTGGAGGTGGCGTGTCTCTAGTCAGACCGACTAATCTGTATAACAATGACGTCAGGTTATTGTACAATAACTTACAACCGACGTTGACGGCAACGGCGGTGAACCGACTCCCGGCATCGATCAACGGTTAGTATGTCATACAAAAGTAACATACCCACCCGCTCCCGTAGTATACGATACTTATTGCAACACGGCGCGGCGTTTTGGATAGGTGACTTGAGTTCAAGTCACTGATTTGTGTCCCTTTTCCTATACTACATAAACATTGGTAACCGATTGGCAACTCTATAATTTAGACTATTTATTGTTTACGATAAATGTAATTTTGTGGTAGGTGGAAGGTAACAATTATGCATTTAATTATTTAATTGGATCATTGAAGTATCGTATATTATGGTATATTTTGTGTGCAATAATACGAGTAGTATAACATCGTTTTCCGCTGTCAGAATTTCGGATAGAATAAACCCAGAGTTAATCCAGTTTGTGGTATTAAGGGACTCGAAAAGGACAGGAGTTTTTCCAGTATTGAATGTAAGATCTAAAATAGATAAACAGTAGTTTACAGTACCATTATAGACTCTTAAGTTCAAATAATATTTAATACAATATGAACTGTAAAAAATAATACGAAGTTGCTACAATATTATCATCCTTAGTACCTGAATTTTAGTTGTTACCGATTCATTTTAAAATGTTTATCACATAGATCACCCCTACAGCCCCCCCTCTGGATCCGCGCCTGACTAATCGTGGAAAACATTCAAAAATTCTTGTGACAAATGTTTTTTTTTAGTTTATGTCATGATCCATATTTTCTACAATGTTGTATATTATTTTGAATGTTTTGAATATTATCATAACGTATATTGATGGATATAAATTGTTTTTCATAGAGTGCTTCATCAAAGCCAGAACGGGACACCATTTGCAGCAAGAAAACATCATAAAATCAACAAACGCTCCGTCTCTTTATGGCTGTGAGACCATGTGTGCTAATGAACAAACATTCACTTGCAATATATTTAGTTACAGGTGAGGTACAAAACGAGCCAACAAAGGTGTTTAAATAATAAGGTTGATCGTTTTTTCCCCAACAGATATAGTTTTACGTCCTCTATGGACAATTGTCATTTGGGTGATAAAATGCTCAGACAATTAGACATTTTCCAAGATTTAGTCCCGGACAGAGATTGCGACGTGTTTGCACGAAACGAACTTAGCCAGCCTGGATGTCAACCTGCGAAAAATTGGGACACTGGTGAGAATAAGTAACAAATTTCGTTAATCTGTATAGCAAGAACGTAAAAACAATAAATGTTAAAAGCAGTCTCATAATTTTTCTAATTTGAACGTTAAATTTTTTTAATTGAAAAAGAAGTCAATGCAAAATATAATTAAATCACGCTTTTTTGCAATTGTTAATGGTACACAATTTATAGATTTTGTCATTTTCAAACAAAATATTGTTTTTTTTTCATATTAAGAGACAAGAGTGAGTAGTAATTAATGATAAAAACTATCCATAATTAGTCAAAAAATTAAACACAACAATAAACGTGAGTGCATTTTATAGTTGAGGTCATTAATCCGTTTTTTAAGAAGACACTAAAAATGTTCATATTTTGTATTATGATTCATAATTAATTGTGTACAATATAATTTTTTAACTGTATGGATTATTTTATTTTCTGGTTGTCGCATTAGAGGGAAGACGGTGAAATTGCATTAATTGTATCTTTGTGGAGGGATGCCATGGAAAAAGTGAAAAAAGTGATTTTCAAGTTAGATACGAGTAGTATAGTTTAAAAGGCATAAATTAGTTCATACTCTAAAGAATTACAATTTAGTTTTCTTTTAAAAACGAAAATGATAKATTTATCAGTGTTACTTTAAATAATTTTTTTAATATTTGAATACAATTACTATATACATATATAAAAAATCATTTCAAAAACATAAAAATACATTTAAATTACTAAGAATAAAGAAAGAAAATATTTTATTCAATGTTTGACGGAGTTCTCGGTTAGTATTAAAACATCTAGGTACTCAATAAGTATAATATTTTAAATTTTACTGACTTCAATTAATGTGTATCTTTCAAAAACTTCGACTCAATTTTCTCTAAAATGTTTTATTAAGATTCAATTTTTATGTAGCTACAATGTTACATATAATAATATCATATGTGTGTAAAACTTAAAACCGTATGTAACATACTAATTTAATGCTTGTAATATTATTGGAATTATTTATGTGATTTATTCATGAAAAACTCCATATTTGTCTTTTAAAAATGTAATATGTACCTTAAAACAATAAGAGTTATTTGTAATCTAAGATAACCCATAGGCCAACACACGAGTTTTTCTCAGTGAGGCCTAGTTATCTTTCGATATTAATTTAAATAAAAAATAAAAAAAAATAATATAAAATAAAATATATTATAAAATTGAAAACTGGGCAGATTTTGTTTGTACCATGTGGTACAATTCTAAATGTGGTTCTGAGTTTAATTATATCTACTAAACAGTAGATAAAACGATTCAATACAAATTGATTTGATGAATTCTTTACAAATGTTATACTTCTTTGTAAACTATTAAAAATAATCACAAAAATATCAAATAGGTTTTAGCAGTTTTAGATGATTGGTTTATATTTTTAAAGTATTATGTCATCGCGATTAGCCCCAAAATAGAAATAAAATCCACCAATTAGTCATAAATATAGATTATTTTAGCGTTCAACTATAAAAGCTAATAAAAGCTAATATTAAGGTATGATGGTTATCGAGAAATTTTTTGTATATGATTCTGGTCTTGTGACATACAAGTTAAACTATCATTAGTAAAATTATAAACTAGGTAATTATTATTTGCATATGGATTTCAGATTGTTTTGAACGAATCCGGAGTGGTTTGACGTTGGAAGGGTCCATTGTCAAATTTTCTGTGCAGACAGAGAATTTGCATGAATGCGAGCTCATCTGCCTTCATGTAAAACACTTCACTTGTCGAGTATTTAGCTTTCGGTAAGTATACGCTATGACGTGACAGCACTTTAATATAATAACGTACTCAGTCCATCACATACATGTTAATATATTCAATAGTGTATATTGTATAACCATGTTACCAATTTATATGATTTATCATATAATTCATATAGTCCATGCTTGTTTCACAGCCGTGGACCACCCGTCATTGGTAAATGGTCAGACAACTGCTACCTGACTGATTACCCAGTACTCGATATGGATCCGGTTAAACACTTCGTTCAAGATTCTGGTTGTGATGTCTACAACCGTGGTAGCTATGGTCGTGGATGTGAACTGGATAAGGTTCTACCACAATCTGGGTGGCCATTGGTCCCGGGACAGGACCTGACGCCAACCGTGCTCACCACATACCGACCTCAGTACGGCGTGCCCCCTCCCCTGACGCCGTCCTTGTATGGACCAAAGTATGGTCCACCATCATCGCCACCACTACAATTCTTTCCTATAGTACCGTCCGAGTCACCATCGCCAACACCATCGCCATCGCCACCACCACCACTACCATCACCATCACCACCTCCACAACCACCTCAGTACTACCCAGTCGGTCCACACTCATCACCATCACCGCCACCGCAGTACTTCCCTCCACCGTCAACACTATCACCACCATCTGGATATTACCCTGTCACGCCGACTGTCTTTAACATACCAACTAGACCTACTGGTACATATGTGCCATCCATGCCACCAACCACATTCTTCCAGATACCTGGAGAATACACCCCTGTGTCTGTGAGGCCCACAAACAGGTTGCCTGGAGTTCCGGGAGGTGTGTACAATGATTTGTTCAATCCATATGGACAGAACCCAACCCAAGTACCGACAGTCTATGGGATGGCAAAAAAACGTAAGATAGACGTGTTATTAAGCGAATGCATTTATTATACCAATAAATCAACGCAAAAAAAAAATAAGCAAAAGTTTTATAAATTCTAATTCTAGTCCTCTAAATAATAAGTTATAATATAATTATTATATTCTATTGTTTTTTTACTCACGTTTTCATATTTCTTTGTTTTTAGTGTGTTACATAAATTTCGGAGGTACTGCTAGACTGTTGCCGTCAGCCATAAAAAAATCTATGACCGTCGAGTCGGAATACCAATGCAAGATGGAGTGCAATAAGGCCAGGGAAAACCAATACTTCCGGTGTTCTACACTCAGCTACTTGTAGGTACAGATTGTTTTAGTCATAACACCATACCGCATTGGTGAAAAAATTATAACATTATAATGGTGCAATTGTGCAATGTGCATATGCATTTATCACATAACATTTGGTATTTCATCTTATTCTGTTATAGTGGAGGTTATTGTGAGTTGAGTGACATCGAAATGAGAGACTTAAAACCTAACCAACATTTCAGTCTAGACCAACAGTTCTTATTGTACACTTGGGATTTTAGCGAAGTACATTGTTTTAGCTCGCCCGTAGCCAAATACTCTCCAACTAATGGTTGTGAGTAAAAAACATCTTTACGTATCTTTGAGTTTATAATTACAATTTGGTTGTATTTCATAAATAGTTTCGGGTGGATTAGAGTGGACATGGATGAGATTTACTGTCAACGGACAGCCATGCAGACTTGGTTCGTACTGTACCGAAAATGTCAACATGGGCATATGGTCTTGTCCTGTTGATCAAGGTGATTGGGATTATTGTTGTCGACCTGACCATAAATGTGGTTATTCCGAAGGGGTCAGTTATCCATGGTAAGTCATCTAATGGAGAACACAATATTTAAGAAATTTTATAAAAATAAACACAGTAATACTTATGTAATTTAGTCATATGGTGGATTTTAACATAATTTTTCTCCCACGTACATAGGTGTCACGTGGGAAAATCCACAGATCAGTGGCGACCGTGTAGCGATAAGTATTTCCCATCAACGGACGGACCACCGCAAACTTGGCCGATGACGTACATCCATCACACGGGCCCACCAGTTGTTCACAACCCTTCCAGCCCTCTACCTCCCCATGGTGACAATAACAACAGCAACAACCACAACGGAAACAACAATGGCACGCAGACTGAAGTAAAACACGAACAGTCGTTGGTCGATCAATTTTTGTCAATATTCACGTCCTCATCAACGGACGTCAGCAGCAATGCAGTTTCTTCACCTGAACCTGTCGCTGAGGCATCCACCGCTTCGTCAAAGACCACCAAATTCGATCTTGATTTGTTGCCCGGTTTCCAAGTGGTGGACGTCACCGACAAGCCCCAATCAACTAGCAAACTGTACTCGTATCACAAGAACAACTACAACAGCAATCGTATCAGGAACAGATTTGTAAGGAAAAGACCAGTCGTCTACATTTAATGCCTAAGAGACGATGATGAATGTATAGTGACCATCTGTGGTCATTGTGTCTCACGAATTTTATATAATTTATATCTAGTAATAACGCGTTAAATGTAATAATTTCTGAGAAGCAAATTAGCCATATGGGTAGTCTCCACATGCAATGGACCTGCTTCACGATATCGGATGATGGTAATCATCGCGAGCCGTACTATTTCATTTTTAACCTAACCTCATTTTTGTGAACCCTCCGTTTTATAACATTCTTTTAGGCGTGTTGGTATAATAACATGATCAGAAGCTTATGAATTCTAGTGTTTGAAATATGAATCCCAAAATAACAATCATAGCAATTAATAAACGAATAGATTTTTTAATTAAAAATAAATTACATGTTATTTCAATGATGATATTGGTGTTGTTATTTTGAATTTTACTATGTATTTTAGTTTAATCCATAATTCATTATTTTTTTATTTTTAAATCTCAACCTATGATTTTATATCTTCATCTGAAGAATATTATTTTTAAATAATCTAATATGTTAATAGCATTGTAGATTGTGATTCCTTCTGTCCTTAAAACTTTATATATGTATATTGTATATATACATATATGTATGTTGTTTAAGTATGAAACTTGTTATTTTATGATTAAACCTACTGCTTTAGTCAAAGTATTAATACTCAAATTAAATTAATCCTAAAATATCCATAAATTATAAAGAATATTAAGAAGTTATTGTACACAATCCGCATTCGAGAATAGTTAAAAATATTGATTGCATTCTAGAATAATAATATATTTTATATTTGAAATATTTTTCTCAAACATTTAAAATCAAAACGGAAATCTGGATAGAAAATAAAAATAACTTGACGTTTTATGTATGAATATTAAATAAATGAAAATATAAACAGTAAACAAAATAATATATGTAGGTATTTTAAATATATACAATATAATTAAACAATCACAGGTAATTTATAAAACATCTAAATTAGGTAAATGATGAAATAAAATTTAGTTTATTGCAAAAAATTATTTAGTGCTTAAAATACTTATGTATTAAGTAACGCACTTTCATACTTGAACGCTAACATATAAATCTTAAACTATAATTTTATTAGCCACCTTTATGGTTTTCGTTTATACACACTATAATAACGAAAGTATTCTAACACTTTTTCCTAGCCTTGGTTATTTTTTTAGTTCAAAATGATGAATTAAAAATATTTAAAGTATTCAGTTTTGAAAAATGAGAATCGAACAGCAAGTATATAGTTGTTAACAGTTTAATCTGACCAATGTAAAACTTATATGAGTATAAATTATCAAAATACTTTAGTTCAGAAAAAACTCTGTTTAACAAAACTATAACTTCTCCGTATAGTATTATTACAGTTTTTAGAACTTTTTTTATTACGAGTCATATTTGCTTCGCTTAAACATTTTTTTAAAGCTGTCTTTTCAATTTGCTTATTTTCAATTTTTTTTTTGCGATCCATAGCTTTTTTTATGTTTTTCGTTTTGTAAAACTGTGGACATCGCACTTGATCCTTACTTTATGTCTCAAAACTAGAGTTAAAGCTTATGACAAAAATGTAATTAAAATAATACACAAAATATTGTGAATAAAAACCAACTATGTCCAAGTAAAATGTGTTTTTAACATTTGATAGGTACATATTGAAGAACTCACTACACAGGTTAGGTTAGKTTAGGATAGATTAACTGCTGCTATAATTTTTCCTAAATTGCCATATTGGATCTTAACATATAAATGTTAATATGGGTACACATTAGTAAATCTTACATTCTGTACCCTTTCTATTCTATACGCTAATAATCATCAGGTGTATTCGTGTATAGATGTTCAGTTCAAATTTTGCTATTTAACACCACTTCAGTATTTTCATATTTATTTCGACAATACGGTTTTGATAATATACACACCGCGCTGATTGACGTTAGGCAAACCATAGCTTGATATCAAATTTGATTTCCAGACTTAAAAAAATATCTTCCTCTAATTACCTACATTAGTTGACCCAATACAAATTAAAAAATTTATTTATTTAAAATAATTATAATTGAGTAAAGGGTTAGTATATCATATAATTTTAAGATAAGTATTTGTGTGAATAGATCTCTAAAAAAAAGTTAAACATGTTTTAAATTTAAAATTTCTTTGTAGTTTCACTTTGCTTGTTACAACCTGCAGACTTTGTTTATGGTAATTTACCTATTTATATAGCTTACAAACATCTCAAGGCAACCAGAAAAATGTTACGTATTGACCAAAGTTAGAATTATGTTTTTAGTACTTTAAATATTTATATAGTATTAAATATATATACGCACACGTTAAACAATACAATAAGGACAATTAAATTAAGATATTTAGCTTAGTATAAAAATAAATTTAAAAAGATATTTCACGCAAAAGACAAACTAATTAGTTTTAAAGTTATTTAATTTTTAATATTGTTTGTCATTTAACCATTAGTTTACAAAGAACACATTAACGATCAGCAACTTTTGACTGTTCCAAAATAGTGATACTATTTTTAAATGTCTATATTCGATTAACCTACCTATGCACTACATAGGTTTATTATGTATAATATCTGTCATAGACAAAAAAAAATATATTATATTATAATCTATGATTTATCTTATGTTTTGTGTTCATTGATTTAATTTAAATAAAAAATACTTATATTATCAATTAACTGACAAGAAATCATATTAATATGAAGTAAATTATATGCTAATTTACTGTAATATTAGAATAATAACGATCAATATGACTTTTATATATTTTACGTGACATCAAAAAATAAAAATAAATATCGTATTTTATCACATTGACAAACAGTGAGGATTACCAATAATAATAGTAACCTATTATACCATTTGTATACCATACAACTTACCTACCTAGTAATTAAATAATTTAAAATAACGTATTTTATCAAGAATAATGTTTCAGAATTATTGTACCTATACGATTAAGATTCTTGTATTTGAATACTGAAATATAAAGCATAAAGCATAGTTAGTAATTAATTTGTAACTTACACTACCTACAATGGTGAATCGCAATACTCATAAATGCATATTAAAATGTTTCTCAACTCAAATAATTAAGTGTAAATATATTAATAGAGTTTAAAATATATACATTTATACATTTTTTTAATCGAAAATGTTCAAGTTTTTGTAAAATAAATTTATTTGCTGTTGGACATATATTTTAGCAATGCATTATAGGTATTGATTCTTTTAAATACATTTCATGCAAATACATCTCTGCTATCAGTATAAGTAAGTATGTTATAAAACTATGAATAAGACATACATTAACGATGTTATAAGATGAAACAAAATCATCTTATTTTAGGTACCTACAATTTACTACAATGTATTGGCATAAGTATAAAAAAAAGTAAAAAAATAACACGATTAATTATTATAATTAAGGTTATATGATAAAATTTATATCATTTTCTTTTAATCCATCTTAAGCAGTCAGACTAAATTTTTACAATGAAAAACTTCTATCTCTTACTATTCACTGTTAGCGATTCAAACAAAAACTAGAACTGAATATGCTATAAACAATAGGTAAGCATACAAGTATGCTAAATAAATTATTAAGTTAATTCAGTATAGTTTCAAAAACCATGAACCATTATGTTATTATATTTATTTATATTATTATTATATTATTATTATAACCATTAATGGCTTAATCACTTGCATAATATATTACTCGTACTCAGTGCCGGATTTAGGTAAGAATATTCAGGGAACACGCTATTTTTAATCCAAATCTTCATTTTGTATAAAACATTACGAATATATTAAATCAAGTGTAATTTATTACATAACGTATTATAATATTATGTTATACGGCTCTATATGCTTTGTGGATTTTATTTTGCCTTCGATAACTTTTTCCGGGAAGTGATCTGGGAACGCAAGCGGCCGTTCCAAACCGTCCGTGATGCTCGCGGTGGTGCATTTTTAGCGGTCTTTCGGCCACCACGAATGCCTCTGGCTAACTGCTGGTCACTACGAATACCACGGGCGGACTTCTTACTGGTGTGGCTGCCGCGAGTAACGTTTCCACCACGGCGACTGACAAGTGGCGCCTTCCTGGCCCTACGACCTTCACGGATCGTCTTTTGGCCACCACGACTGCTACCGGCCATCAATTCGGTACCGATCTCATCTTCATCGATATGCACAGAGAATTCACTGTCATCACTTCTGGTATGACGGCTTAGGCTGCTTCGGCTGCTACTACGACGATTTCTGCTACGACGGCTTCGGCTTCGACGGCTTCGGCTTCGACGACTCCGGTTACGACGGCTTCGGTTACGTTGACTTCGGCTACGGCGTCTTCGGCTACGACCATGTCGGCTACGGCTACGGCTGCGTCGGCTTTGACGGCCATGTCTTAAACTGCGACGGCTGCGCTTATCCATGTTCTCGGATTCAACGTCACTCACAGACGTGGACAGATTGTCATCCGCTCCCGAACCGAGCCTAATTGCGGTAACTGTGGGGGCAGGCGCACTCACACACGGTTCTTCCAACACAACGATCAGCTCCTGTTCTGGTTGCGGTTGCATTTGCAGTTGTGGTTGTGGTTCCGGTTCCGGTTCCACTTCGACCGGTGCGTTGTCTACCACGATCTCAGGAACCACCGTTTCTGGTACATCAAAGTCCAGCGACAATGAGATCGTCGCAAATTCAGTAGTCGAATCTTCCACATTGACATCATTGGTTCTTTCACCGTCCATGTCGAGAAAAAAAATGGTAAAGACGATAAATGTAATACAAAAAAAACCTTCAATGAGTAAAAAGCAAGTGATGTTATAGTTCGTTTRTAACAATGTTAATGACATCAGACTTGGTCAGGTTACCAAGGCGATAACGGAGGCCCGTGTGTATAATTTTTATTGAGGCCAAATGCATGAGAATAATCTAATAATATATTCTCTTTCTTTTATACGTTGATTAAATATAAAATTGTATAAAAAGGAAAGCAGTTTCACCTTTTTCCGCCAGAAATTAAATTGCTAATGCAAATTTTAAAGATGGCTGATAAACATAACATTCTTTATCTCGTTTCTGTTACCGTTTTATCGATTTTTAATAAGGTTTAAGTTCCAACAAAAAATGTTCGCATTTTTATTACATTTGTTTCGTTTCTAACTAATTTTTATCATCTTTTGTAATGTTTTCGCGAAGATCGTAGCGTTTAAGAGCCGTATGTGTATGGTTAGCGTTCATATTTTTTTCGGTAGTAGTAGAAATCATATTAATCAATCACAAAAACTATCGCCAATTAGGCAGAGAACGTCGTCACAGTGGTGAATAATACAGGTGGCAAATTATACGTTTAACCAAATGTATATTATCACAAATCCACTGGATCAGGACCATTTCTTTTTGTGACTGCTACTTTTGCACTAAAGAAGCCCTCAGTCTTTTCAATACACGAGGATGCTGGATGAAGTCACATACAATTTTCACGAAACAAACATAGCTGAGCCAGCTTCGCACTGGATGATGGGTTTACTTGACGAAGTCGGCGGCATTGAACACTTCATAGCAATTACGTTATCTCTTTATTCGTCACAATACTTGCGAGCCTTCAAACGTATTGGTGTTGTAATACAAGACGAAGGAAGTAAACCTTTTGGAGGACTGCAATCAGCATCTACCTTGCAAGAGCCACGTGGCTGAACGTTGAACGACATCGAGGATCTATTTCATGCGCATGAAAAGTCGCTCGGCTTCTAGATTTTTCCCTCCTCTCTTGTGTATTGGAATCGGAATAGGAAAACATAAACGACGAATAGCGAACGGTGTATGATTTCCCGATGATAGTTTTTGACAGCAATCGTAAGCAAAAACTTTTAACTTATATAGGTACCTGAAAAACAACGGATGTCTCATAATATGGTCACTTTACAACAAAGCTGTTCGATGTTCTGCGTGGCATTCACTAGGATTGCTACGTCTCTCGTGAACGGCAGCATAACCGTGCATTCGACTTCTGGACTGCCATTTGCCATTTGGTATGCTAACCGACAACTTTACATCGACCATCACCATCGCAAGGTACTCAAACATAGTTTTAAACTTAACATTTTTTTTTTAAATACGAAAATGCAAAGCATATTATGTAACAGCATATGCCACTACGAGTATGTTATTACTCAGCGTGGTATCGACTTACACTTTTGTTGACTTTCTAGTAACTCAAACATGGATATTAGATTCACGTTTTTTGATTACCATAAATGCACAAGACTGAGCCGTATCCGAGTGATCGAATGACAACGCCTAACGTATCACGTATCTTACACTATCTTTCAAAGTTTTTTGCAAAATTCTATAATATTCACTTTTTGTCATTCATTTTTGTGTTTACAAAGACTGTGCCTACTATAAATAAACCTGTGCTTACCTAGTAAGCTAGGTAGTAGTAGCACGCAAATTACATATTATTGTTTAGGATCTGGTAGACACTACTAAGTTAGTTAAGTGGTAAAAACAGCCSCTCGCCGTCATGTCCGCAAAATTCCTGCGTATTGCCTACCTAATATCTGTTGTCTACCTAAGTGTAAGTAATCGATTTTTAGTTGAGGTGATTGAATTGCTAGATACTGAAACACGGTTTTAARCGTAACATTTATTAGTTATTACATACAAAAAGATGAAAAAGCACCRTGCACATGCGATCAGCCGTATCAATCTCGTTCAATTACCAATTTTTATTGGTTATGTGAGTTTCGAGACACAAAAACTCGATTTTTAAAAATATTCCCGACATCGAAATAAGACTGCTAAAGCATTGAGCCTTAAAAAGAATCCTTATAACGAATTGCCATCCTTATCACCTCCTCAATTTTTTGAGTTTTAACCAATATCAACGTGACTAACCAGCACAACTTTTGTAATTTTAACGACATTGTTTTCGAAATCATTACTCACTTTAAATGAATTACACCACCAGCTARTTTTTACATAAAATTGGTTTAATTTAACTTAATACGTTTTGTAATAATATATTATACATAAAGGCGCATATTAGATGTAAAATTTTTTCGATGTATATTTTAAATAATACWTTATTGGGAATGATTTTTTGATTTAGATTTAATGTATTTACYTTACATACAGATACRCAAGTATATTGCTAGTTGGACATAAGCTTTTATATATTTTAACAAATTAGGATTTTAAAATAAATAAGTACCATAAAATGGACGAATAACAGTTTTGAAGCAAAATAATCTATCTAGAACGCCATTTGATAAAAATTGTATTATTGAAATATATTTAAATTACCGATATATTTTAAAAACATACATCACACACTTAAAGTTTTATAAAACAAACAGAAAATTTAATAAGGCAAGAGTGGTGTACCTTAAGATGACCATATTTAAAATAATAAAACAGTACTAAAATTATCTAAATAATATATTATGTGCCTTGTGTTCTAAGGGGAGTGACAGGATAGATATATCGATTTAYAATAAGTTAAAAGTTAATCAGTTTTTTTTTGTTTGTGTGCAAGTTAACTAATCGAAATGATCAGTTAATTTTAAATTTTATTATTTTTTCTAGAGGAAAAGTGAATGTATATAGTTGATGTGTTTGAGAGGTAAAAATTCAAAATACCTGAGGTTTTCAAAAACATAAATAAAAATAAAAACGAATTATGGGAAAAATGGGAAAAATGGGGAAAATGGGAATTAAACTTATCTCCCATAAATTAATATTTCTCTTATTTGTTTGTAGTTCAAAAGAGAATAGTCGTAGTTACTTGAAATTTTCATCAAATGTGTATTGTGCGATTTTTTAAACATGATAAAATTTTAAAAATATTTTGATTTGTTTTGAGCTATACCTATATAGAGACATTCAACATTTTTAGTTTTTTTTTTTATAAATGTCAATAAAAATGTTTTTGTTGTGTCAAAAAGCTTATAAATTTAATACAAGATTTGTCATATGTTTTTCTAATAGCAGTTGAAAAATATCAAAATGTACTACCTATACCTATATATAT